GCATATTTGGGTAATCCGGACGAGGGTTCAAGGATAATCGTAACAATATGTTAAATATTTCGAGCTCGACATCGCCTGACCGGATAGCGATGCCCTGACATTCTAGAGTGGTATCCCTGCGGTCGATGTCTGCTTCGATTAGACGATACTGCACGGTGTGGTGCGTGATGAACGCTAAGCCACCACCATTATCTCGCTCGCGATCTCGACGGTGCACGTTGTACCCGGCGCAATTCAACAAAGTTGAATTGCTGTGCTACTTCGTCTCTTGGACCGCAGCTATCAATATACCATGCCGACACATGCAGTTAAATTGAAGATGCTTCATGTGGTTCGGGAGACGTGTCGTGATGTGGGGTGTAAGTGATGTGGGTTTTCTTGCCGCCGTTGGCTGTGTGCGCTGCTGTGATGATTGCCGCCCTGTGGTGGTGGCGGGGGGCGTCGCAATTGGGGTCTGCGACCGAGCAGCGCAACACGGGCCCTCGAAGTTCCCAGTCCAATCATGCCCTAAAGTGGCACCAGCCAAGGCAGGTGTTGCATTTGACTGATGTCACATTACGGAATATCCTGGTCTGACATACCGTGCAGATTGTAGGGGGAACCAGGAGTTGTTGGCGGCGGCGTGTGGGTGGTGGTGCGGTTGTGTGTGTTATGTGGTCTGTCGTGGCGATGGTATGGTCTGTGGTGTTATTATGTTGTTGTGTTGTGGTGACTGTGTGAGGCTGCTCGGGCGGACTGTGGTTAGCCGTGGAGGCTGCTCTGTTTGAGCAATAGGGGGCCACGTACGACGTGGTCCACTGTGTATGTGTCCGTAGTCCCGCGCAGACTCTGAGGTGACTCCACCCCTCGCAGGCATTACACTTGACTGAGGTGGAGTTGTGGTGTAATCGTCTCCGGCATACACAGCAGGTGTAGGTTTCTGGCCCTGGGTTTGACTGAGTAGAAGAATACGTAGTGAATGTAGCCCTATGGACGGACAGCTTCTGAGATACTTCGCCGACCTAAACGGGGTTAGATCGCCGAAACAACAGCCCTTGGTCGGGTAAAACCCGAGTCATTCCGGTACGTAGAACCGGATGTCGTGGTCCTTCCACACAGTTTCGAGCCCGAATATGACAAAAATTAAAATTGGTTTGGCCAGTCGTTTCCGGATTTCGAAACGGCGTCATTAGCCATGGCTGTAGTGGATATCCAGAATCTCCAATCAGCCAACTTCTATTTGCATCACGACTATATTGTCTTTCCAAAAACTCCTTGCATTTACTGTTTTCCTATATGAATGCATCATGGGTACTACTACCATCAAAACGTGCCAGCCAATATGTTAAGGTTGTTGTCGCATAATAATTGCACATTTTTTGATAAATATCCTTTTCTATTAATATAGCAGCTCTCAACATCTGCCCTTGGCTTTTTAATCTTTATGTGCGTGCAATCAATAGCACCAATGCACCCAGGAAAACCAGTAGCAGAAAAAAAGCTGGAAAAGAAATTACCAACACGTGCACATGAGAATGTACAGACTTATAAATTTTAAATAAATTACCTTCGTCGAATTCTGTTTTGATCCTCCAGTGTAGTTGGAAATTTAATATAATTGCACATCAACTTTTCTTCTATGATGTATGTAACTTCTTTTATAGAACGACAAACCATTGTTTTACTTAAAGAGCAAACGAAATCCAGGCCATCATTCCTTAAAAACGATCCCGTTGCAAAGTAATGCAGTGCTGCAGTCATCCTTAGTGCCTTTGGAATAAACGTGGCTCTTTCTCCGTTTTTCATAAAAGGACTTATTTCATTCAATAGAGCAATTACAGCTTCTTTTTTAAAGCGAAAAAGCTCTTCAAACCGAGCTTCTGGTAAATGAAATGGGTTAGTTGCATCCCTTAAATGGCGTCTATGAACTCGTAACATATTCCTTTGGTCAGTTGCCAAAGCAATTAATGCAGCTGCGAGCATAATTTTAAGCTAGAGAAGATTAAGAATTATATGTATGTATGTACAATATGTATGTGTGCATACATATGGGTATAATTGCACTTACTTGTTAACTAATCAAAAACAAACAAACAAATGGCGGATTTATAATTAATATTCCAACTTTTAACTTTTATTTAACGTAAACAAGACAATAGGTGTGTACTCGTATTGAGAGGACAAAATTCTCCAGCAGCAAAAGTTCTGAGAATTTAGCACCATTCGCTCTCAAAGAGACGAAATATCAACAGAAGTACGAGAAAGCAAAATTTGCAAAAACTTGCAACCTTCGAAACAGCTGATCACTTGCACAGTTGCCACTGGTGATTAATTTGGCAATTTATTTTCTGTTTGGTACATTTTCCCCCGATTTGGAATTTTATACAATTGAATAGTTTTCGATAAGAAAAACCTTTTTAAAATACAAATTAATATCGGAATGAATAAGTTATTTTTCTCATAATTATTTGTGATATCACATTACGACGCATTAGGAACAAGAGTATCTCCTCCAAACACCCATCATTGATCCAATAAAATGTAATAGAGTAGGTTTAAAATTATAAAATTTTCATTTCCACAATCAACCTACCAAAACCGAAAACTGCAGCAAAATAAACATTTCAGCATGCTTCATTTAAATCTATTTTAGTACACTTAATGGAAAATTATGGTACAAACGAAAAATGCCATACGGCAACCATAGTCAGAACACACTAAAGTAAACAAACTGGAGATTAATAGCAAATTAACGAAAAATAAACTCAACAAAGGTTGTGCTTATTAAATTTACGCACTTTTTAGCTGTATACTAGCATTAATAATAAAATTTGCAATAAATAACTCAAAAAGGCCATATTTTCTTTTGTTTATTTACAAACATGTGTTTGTGATCAGCTGATTTTCTTACTTGCAAGTTTTAGCTGGGAAAATTTTTTCCAGCAGAAATTTGCAGCTCTCTTTCACATTTCGCTCTCTCAGTTTCCCCCTACGTTGCAAGTTTTTTGGGTACGAGAACGCAAAACCAGTAAAAGTTTTCTAAAACTTTAGATAGTTGGGCGTACGAGTACACTCCTAATTTCGCGCTAGAAATGACAGATGGTTTGTTCCATTTCAATCGTACCATCGATATGTTAACAACTCACCACAATCATATCGCAAGGTGAATTTTCTGAGGGCCTGTGCCAATTGATAGAAAAGTTCTATGGTGGAAAAACTTTTTACTATGGTGAGAAAATTTTACATTTCTGCTGTGCCAATTCGTAACTTTTTACTGCTGGAAATTTTTGACAGTTGCTTTGATGCACAAGAAGACTATCGAGTTTGCTATTTATAAAATGCAGCAATTATATAGAAAATATTTGCCTTTGATGATTTCAATTCTTCTGGAACTGAAATCCATGCATTTATTAGACCTTTTAGCAGTAATATTAGAAATAAAAACACGTCAAAACCGTCTGGTAAGTGTGTTCACAAAAATGTTTAAAACCGTGTACAATTGTTTCCAATAAAAACATATGTCGTTTTAGGGTATTATGTACATGCAACAAGACGTTTATTCCAAAATACTAAGCAGCATTATGAACGGCGATAACAACACTACAAAAATGTATCTTAGGTTGTCCTCTGCTTCGTTTCGAAAAATTGTAACTCACATTCCCAAAAAGCGCCACGGATGGTCAGTGGAGTACGAAGTCATTTGCTTAATAAAGTCTTCAAATTATTTATATTCTTACTCACTTCCAGCCTTCGTTGCTGTTGGCGTTCTTTGAACTGAACCAAACATCCTTGTCAATGCGCTTTTCCAGAAGGATTCTGCGTTCTGAACTGCTCCCTGTAAAATAGTATTTTTAATTAAACAAATACATAACGCCTTTTCTTATGTAAATCTGAAATTAAATCTTACAAGTTATATAGCTTTTCTTTATTTTTTTTGCCGGCGGGACCATGTTCTTTTATTTCCACTCGCTTTTTTTTTCTTTAATTTATGTGTATACGTGCGTTGTTCGTTCTTCTTCTTGATAATGCTTGCTTTCAAATTTTTCACTAGCCCTGCCGTATCAAACATTTTTATTCACCTCATAGCTGTCAAAAATTTATTATCCAGAGAACTTTTCTATCAATTGGCACAGGCCCTGAGTTACAGAAACACTTTTCAAATCGATTTCGATCCGAGCCTTGCGATAACAAATCATTCGTTATTATATCGCAAAGTTACATAAACCAAAAAGACAAAATCACGCGGGCAGGAGAGTAGCCCGTGAGAATCGCATTTAGGAAAAAAGTTGAACGATTTTGACATTAGCCGTTTGTTTACATTTCTTCGTTGTTTACAATTTGATGGTGGCTTTTTACTGCAATTTTCTTCATTTTCGCTTGTGACAACGGGTGTACACATAAGATAAAGAATAATTTAACACAACGGCACGATTTATAGAAGAATTTGCATAATAAAAATGATTTTTCATGCGTTCAACAATTTCGCGGTTTTCTCCGTTCTCTTCGTTGTTTACTTCTTACAACAAAGATGGCGTCGAGATTTCGTTCTTTCCTTCCCGCGTGATCTTGTGTCTTTCGTTCATGGCAAAGTTAAAGAAACGGGCTACAGAGCTAATATTTTACGTCTTGTCATCGATAATATCGAGCATCGATGAATAGCGTGCATTTCTAATACCTATGTAAATTATATGTTTTGTTATTGCTAAGTAGTTTATTTTCCTATAAGGGTTGGAGTTTCCAAAAATCTCGTGAAATTCTTAAAATTCACGAAATATTGCCTGTAAATTTTAGCTTTTTAAGACGATCAAACGAGCCATGTACTGTACACTGTGCCGAATAAAAGTAAATGAGTCGGATGAGCTGGAGCATGTGAATAATAAAACCCCATTTTCAAAGAAAACCGTATATGCAATCATTACATATTTAGCAAAATCAGCTAAGCCACCTATAGATGTAGCGCCGGCTGGTCAACCTTTCAAGTACATTTGTAAGGCATGTTATAATGACATCTTGACGTATGATGAATACATGCTTAAACTATTAGAAATACAGAAGCGTATCCTTTCGTCCCTTCGAAATCCGAACGAAGACATTCCACCATTAGAAGAATTTGCAGATATCGATGCAAAAATTGAAATAAGTGTTCAAAACAATTTCGAATCAAGTGACGACTGTGACAATGCTGAAGAAAACAAAGAATCGTTCACTCGTCATGACGCAAAGGTCGGTTCCAACGTGGACGATAGCGATGATTTTAAAAACTCTCAAGATGCAGAAAGTAAGAGTGAATTAAACGAAAGTATAGATGCATCTATCTCTAGCATTCGGCGGTATAAGGTCCCAGCTAAATGTAAAAGATGTGACAAAATTTTTAAAAATAAATCGCAACTGCGACGACATATGAGCGTTGTACATAAACCTTCTAAAAAAATTTGGAAATGTGAAGTTTGTGGAATTATCACAAAAGATGAAGAATACCTTGAGCTACATAAAAACATTCACGAAGGTAAATCAGATTTAGAGTGCCGGTTTTGCAACAAACGTTATGCTCGTAAAATCAATGTTATACGTCATATGCAAAAACATTGGGACAAAAAGAAATTTCAGTGTGAAAGATGTGGTTTGATGTTCTCCGAAATTCCAATTTACTATAATCACAAACTACAACATGAAGCGGAAGAGGACCCTCTCATCTGTAATGTATGTAACCAATCATTCAAAACTCGTCGTACGTATAGAAGACATTTATGGGTACATCGTGAGGATCGACCACGCTTTAGCTGTGAAATTTGTGGGAAGACCTTTGTTGAAAAATACACGCTTAAAGTGCATTTAAAGTGTCACAGTGACAAAGAAGAAGAACGTGGACGTGGACGTCGAAAAATCATAAATGAATTAAAACAACAACAGAAGGCGTTTGAATGTATTATATGCGGAAATCAATTTTCTTCCCAAGACCTATGTGATGAACATATGAAAGCTCAGCATGACGTAATTTTGAGAGCTGAAAACATTTTTATATAAAATAAAGTTAATTTTCCTAAGATGTATGACTTTCATTTATAAAATCTACACACGCTCCGTCCATTATATGTGCGTAGGTACACGCATGATAAACATATAGGAAGGTAGAACCTCTGAGAGACACTTAGCATTTTTGGTGTTTCCTCACATTGCCTCTTGTTCTTATTTTCGCCTGAACAGAAAATATTTAAGTCGTACAATTAACGTCGAAAGTGAAAATAAAAATTCAAATCTAGGTCCGAAAATTTGCTTTTGCTCCGATTTTCGATGCGATTTACTCCTGAATCGACTTATAGGAGTCCGAACACTGTTCTCTACATTTGAACTTTTTTCATTACAACGTTTTTCTCAACTTGCAATGTTGTAAGTCCAGACCAGACTGGACACTCTGGTTTAAAAATAAGGCGCAATTTCTGAAAAAAAAATCGCCAATTTTTTTAAATAAAATTCATGAAATCGATTTAACAAATCTTATTTTAAATATGAGATCTTGTTATAATATAGTTTTTAAAACCAAAAACGAATATAATACTTTTAACCCTTAATTAGGCGCATGGGGTCAAGGTCATTTCAAGTTGAAAAAAAAAATGTCTTGGAATGCTTGGAGCGTGCTCGCGCTCCGTCTAGCTTCCTAACTCCCCGCGGGGTACGTAAGTAAGTCACGGCCAGAACATCGGCGTGTACACATTTGTCGCTACTCTTTTAAGCCCTGAACCCATGCGAGCACTTATGTAACATTTTTTATTTTTGTGTCTTAAGTTTGAAGTCAAAGTTATGCTTTTCTTTCTAAAAGTTTACTTTAATGAGCTTTAATATTTATGACAAAATACAGATCGTCAACATCAAATCCATAGAACAATAAATTTAACTACAAGAATTTAAGCAAGTATAAAAACATACAGTTTAAATACCCTACATTTACTCCCCCTCCAGTAAAACGATAAATTAATTAATGTTGAATGTTATTTTCTTTTTTGTATTTGGAATTGTTAGTAAATTAGAGTTTTTTGTTGTATCAGAAATTATATTTGAAACCGTTTTAATCATATTTCCATGTTGAATTTTGAATACTTTGTCATTTTTCGAAATAATTTTAAATGGTCCTCCTTAAGGTGATGCAAATTTGACTTGTGAATAACTTTAACAAAAGCGTACTCACAAGTATCCAAATTTTTAGGAATAAAAGAGTATTCTTTATTGTGATGTACAACCTTTGATCTAACATTTGAAAAATATTTTCTTAGCTTAGAAAGAGTTTCATTTGTATTATAAACTTCATTATTATAACTTTTCGTAACAACTAATTCACCTGGTAATCTTATAGTTTGTCCATAAACTAATTCTGCAGAAGAGCATTTTAAATCTTCTTTAACAGACGTACGTTATCCTAATAATATCCAAGGAAGAATTTCAGACCAGTGAGTAGAATCCTCCGAAGCAGTAAGAGCAGTCTTTAATGCCCTATGAAATCTTTCAATCATTCCATTTGATTGAGGATAATATGGAGACATGAATTTTGTGAGATCCTAACAATTTAGTTAATTCTGTGAACAATTTTGATGTAAACTGTGATCTTTGATCTACTGATATATAAAGTGGAATGCCAAAACGAGGAACGTAATTTTGAACAAATATTGTTGCTACAGAATTTGCTGAAATATCCCTAAGTGGATATGCTTCTGGCCAACGTGTATGTCTACCAATGATAGTTAAAATGTAACGATTTTCTTTTGACACAGGTAATGGACCAACAAGGTCCATATGAATATGTTCAAATCGTCCAGGTGGAATGCTAATTTTTTACACAGGCGTCTTAGTATGTTTAAAAATTTTAGATTTTTGACAGCTTATACAAGTAGAAGTCCAATTATTTATCTATTTGCGCATATTAGGTCAAAAATATTTTGATTGAATCAAACGCCTAGTTGTACGTACACTTGGATGTGAGATAGAATGAATTTAATCAAAAATGATTTTTCTCAAAAGGTTGTTGAGAAATATCACACCAAATATTAAGGTTAAGTACCGGAATATTAATTTCTTTTAAATTACTGTTGGAATTTTGATCAGATATGCCATAAAGTGTTTGTTCTTTTTGTTGTTCCTCGAATAATGTTTGAAAATTTATGTCTTGTGTTAATATCGTGTTAACATCTGGAATACGTGAAAGGGTATCAGCAACTATGTTTTCTTTTCCAGAAATGTATTGAATGTCATCTGTAAATTGTGCAATATACTCTAAGGGCTGGTTACTCAATGTCTGGTTAACACTAATCTCCGTTTAAACATCATTATCGACGTGTTCGGCTCCATGCATAAAACATGGAGATAAGTGTTAACCAGACATTGAGTAACCGGCCCTTAGTGTCGAATTTGTCGAGGTGATCTGTCTGATTTAGAATTTAGAATATGTGTTAAAGGTTTATGATCAGTATAAACAGTGAATGTTCCACCTTCTAGAAAATGTTTAAAATGTTTAATTGAATTGTATATCGCTA